GCCGCCCCCCCTCCTCCCGGGACGCGCGGCCGCCTGCACTCACGTTGTCTATCACGACGGGCTGGTTCGCTATCACGTCGTAGGACTCCATGGCGAGGACCCGCCGCAGCCACCCGTCAGGGAGCAACAGCCCAGCCCTCGGCGGCGCACGCGCGGAACAGCGGCGCGGAGCCGCCTGGGTGATGTATTCCTCCGGCGGCGGTGCCTGCGTGGCGGAAGTGTAGTCTGGGCCCCGCGCGGCGCCTGACGGGAAGGCGCGCCGGGCGCGGGGCATGCCGGGAGATGTAGTGCGGGGGGGGGAGGAAACGCCGCAGAAGTACCCACGGCCTGGAATCTGCCTTTTCGGCGTGAAACCTGACTGGGGTGGTGGCTGTTGTGCTCCAGGGGTTAGCTGTGCGCTTCCACCAAAAAGCACTGCATTTCAATTGGCTGCTTTCCAGTTTAACAGATTTCCCCCCCACCCCCTATTTTTTCTAACAGGAAAAGAAAAAAACCGATCGCACCACCTCCTGTAGAGGGGATCTATCACTAATGAAAGCGTTTTACTGTCCCATCATTTCACGGGATCATCTCTACGAACTGCTGGTCATAATGCATCTGTTCTCTCCGAGTAGTGCCTAGTTTCTCTGCATTTTTTGAGGCATGGCAACCAGAAAAGCAGCGTCGGTACGAAGAATGCACGTAGTAAGCATTCTAAGTATTAAACGTGTTCCCTGTTGTTTTCCATTTGCTACCTGTTCTAAAAGCACTTTGAATAACTGATGACTGACAAAGACACTAAAATGGTATGTTTACTTGAAACTCTGAGCAACAACACTGGGTCCTGAAATCGGTGAAAGTGAACGTCAATGCCGGTAAGGGTACACGAAGGCCGATTCAGAACTCGCCTGTCTTGTCCCGCATCCTTCATGCAGACACCGAGACTTTTCTTCTGTAGTTCCTGCCTTTAGCCCAAGCAGACGGTCTCGTCTCAGATACTTATCTTCAGTGATTTTCACCATTCACCTAGTGTAAAAGAGGGGTTTTTTGTACGACAGGATGGAGGGGTTAAAATTATTTCAAGACCAGTATTGTATCACCTCAGTAAATGCCAGGAGAGACTTGTTATGTGTGTATTAAGCCAACACAGCATTTCATACGCGACTCCGTTATATTTACCTTCTCAGTTGACTGTAATTGACTTCGCGGGCAGATGTCACAAAAAGTAGTATCACAGTAACGGGCCAAGTGAAATATTGTTCACTGTGGGAAGCAGCGATTCACGAGAATACCAACTGCTCACCTCCTCTCTTGGTGGACTGTCATTTGTTTGTCTGCTTGCCAGCTTCCTGACTATATGTGATCTCCTAAAAGGTATGTTGTGAACACGGATTTTAGAGCAAACTCTCAGCTATTTACATGAGAAGTGCACCAAGCAGGAGCACTCATCCTATCGTCTCAGCGCTCTATAGCTCATTTTTTCTATGCTGATTAAAAAGCAGGACACTGCTCTAGCAAAGATAGATGGGACTACTGAACACATGCCAGCTCACACACACATACAGGGCTTTGCACAACCACAGATGTTGCAACTCAGGAACGAGCCAGATCTTCAGTGTGCTTAGTACACAGGTTAAGATCCGCAATCAGACAGCCCTTGAACTTCACCTACTTTGCATTGCTTCACAGCTGCCTCTGAGGTACGTGCAAATACAGAAAGGTACATGGGGAGAATAAAGGCGCTGTGAGGACTGGAGAAGGTATAAAGGTAGCAGTAACAAAAGCTGTAAGAGCAGCAGTGAAGGAAATAAGGCTATTAGCTGGCCATGTCTCGAAGCACAGCCACGGTCCCACAGAACCGCAGGGTTATGAACAGCACGGAGGCGAGTGCCAAGCCTCACGCCCAGCTCTCTGTCCCAGGCCCTGCTGCACAGACAGATGAAGTCCAACAGAAGCAGCTCCTGAACCGCTGCAATTTACAGCCTCGCTTCTTAGGGAATATTGCCACAAGCTTGAGCGTCAAGGCTGGGGGTGGCTGTGGCCGGGGAGCTGCCCCAGGACGGGACCTGCCCTGCTGTAAGCCCCCTGGGCGAGCCAGGGCCCAGGGAAGGTGCCCACCAGGCCCCTGCCCCAGGCCTCCCGCCAGCCGGGCCCCCTGCCCACCTCGGCGCTGCCCAGGCCTCTCGCCCCTTCCTGCCGCGGGGCGACCCCTGAGGCCGCCCCACGGGGACCCTTCCTCTGCCCTCAGGCCCACCCAGGTGCCGGTAGCCTCCTGCCCCCCCAGGCCCTCCCTCACGCCCACGGGACTCCCCTACAGCCC